CCTCCCCCCACCGCCCACCAGGCACCGACCATCAGCTCCAGAGCCTCGTTGAGGAGCCCGTTGCGCTTGCTGTGCAGGTAGGCATTGGAGCTGCCTGTCTTGGCCACACGGATCCGGGCAAGGCGGGCCTTCTGTGATGGCAGAGACAGAGTGAGGTGTAAGGACAGGGAGCCCGGCCGGGCCGAACCCAGGGAAGCTGGGTTCCCAGGTGATTTGGAGGCGAGGGAGGCGGCCGCTGCTCCCAGCCTCAGGGGTCTCCGTTCATGGACCCTGGGCCTGGGCCTGACGCTGGGTCAGGGTCAGAGTGCCCAGGGGTTTCCACTCGCCTCTGTGGCCGGGGGTCATCCTGGCAGGAGAACACCGCTCAGCCAAGCCCCCTCCTTCCAGGTGTCCCGACCTTTATGGACTCAGCTATGGCTACTTCTCATCTCCCGCAGGCTGCACGCCCTCCAAGGAGCACAGGCCAGGGCGCCCCCTGCAGGCAGCAGGTGCCCACGCACCGATAATCACAAGAACAGCAGTGTGTGCACACGGGCCTCCACACTGCTTACCTTCGCACTTACTGCGCAGGTGTGTACGTTCTGTATACTGACCTTGTTACTGTCTCTCCCTCAGAACATAAACTCCGCGAGGGCAGGAGTTTGCTCACTGATGTACAGATGGATGTACACTGCATGTCTGCCCGGGAGTGGACGCATGCGCGGATGTGTCAGCATATGCCTTTGGTTGTTTTGCTCTGGCCTGTCGGTGGGAGAAGCGTGGGGCACGTGTGTGTGGTAGAGGGAGGGTGGAGCGCATTTGCAGACAGCAGCCCTGCAGGAGGACGGGGACATCTCATGCGAGCCCCTCCTGTTTGCGAGGCAGCGGGAGGGGCCACAGAGAGGCCAGAGAGGAGAGAGCTTCGGGAGAGGGAGAAGGCGCCAGGAGAGGGGTTCCTGCTGGTTTAGAAAAAAGCAGGAGGCGTGCACTCTGGTAGACCCAGCCCTGAGAGCAGGAGCCCACAGGCACCCAGACCCCCCTGGGGCAGAGGGCCCTCTTGCCTCCAGGAAAGTCCACAGGTAACTTCAGCGTGGCCTCCGAGCGGGAGGGGAGCCCAGGGAAACTGGCCGTTTCCATTGCTGCCCCTCCCCAGCTGGGCCTGCCCACAGGCGGCAGGGGCTCCGAGCAGGCTGCCAGCAGGACAACTTCGACCTCGTTTCCTGGGAAGCTGCCCTGTGGCCAGCACGTCCCCGTAGGGACAGTTCAACACCCTTTCTTGGTTTCTAGAAGGGAAGAGGCCAGGACTTGAACTTGGGTCTGCCTCTAACTGCTGAGGCAGCTCGCTCCCCTGGATGGGGAGGACGAGAGGGCATCTAGGAGAGAAAGGAGGGCAGGTAACCCTCTTCTCTTTCTGAGCAAAGACCATTCAAGCCCAGGACGATCCCCGTCCGGGGTCCTGCTCCAGCCGTTCCCCCAGCATCTCCATTCAAGCCAGTCCCTTGTCGGGGTGCAGCTGGTACTGCTTTGGGTGAGGACTGGTAGTTGAGAGTTGCATATGGAACCCCGATTGTGTTAAGCTCATCACAGCCTTACATAACTTGATCACACCACTTAGCGCCCGGCTTCCTGGTGTCTGGGGTCTGTCTCCATTACTTTCCAGAGATGAAAGACTCTCCTCTGTGGCACTTCTTTTAATTTTATCTTACCCTGGGCTCCATTAAAGCAGCAGATTGTCACATCAAATGTGCTGTAGCGTTTCATCATTTCCCACCCAGGATAAAGAGGTTCGCACTGTTTACAGAAAAACCCAGCACCTGAAATTGGGTGGGGCTCCTGAGGGCCGGAGTCTGGGGCTCATGGACATTTCTCTCTGGCGGGTAGCAGAGCTTCACGCTGAGCGTGCTCAGGCGGGGCTGGTGATGGCCCAGAGGGAGGAAGCCACATCTGGGTCAGAAACCCACGATGAGCCCTAGCCAGCTTGGCTCAGTGGATAGAGCATCAGCCTACGGACTGAAGGGTCCCAGGTTCGATTCCGGCCAAGGGCACATGCCTGGGTTGCGGGCTCGATTCCCAGTGGGGGGTGTGCAGGAGGCAGCCGATCAATGATTCTCTCTCATCATTGATATTTCTCTCTCTCCCTTCCTCTCTGAAATAAATAAATATATTAAAAAAAAACAAAAAACCCATGATGATAAAGCCGCTGCAGGGGGCTCACTCCTCCATGGCCATGAGGACATGAGAGTTAACAGAGTTTGAGGTCATCTAGGCTCTTCTAAAGACACGAAACGGCCCTGGCCGCATGGCTCCACTGTTTGGAACACTGACTGTCCCGTGCACCAAGGTTGCAGGTTCGATTCCCAGTCAGGGCACATACCTAGGTTGTGAGTTCGATCCCAGGTCGGGGTGAGTACAGGAGGCAGCCGATCGATGTTTCCCTCACGCCGATGTGTGTGTGTCTCTCTCCCCTTCTCAAATCAATAAAAGCATATCCTTGGGTGATAAAAAAGAAGTGGAAGATGCGAGGGGAAGTGACTGACCAGGGTAAGGCAGTGAACTAGCAAGACCAGCTCAGACCTGCAACTCCCAGCACAAATGTGGCCTCCGGAACATCCCTCTTCCCAGAATTTCAGCTCCTGTCAGACAAGTTTCTAAACGTGCTGCCAATCCCAGGAAGCTGCACTTTCAGCAGATGTGGGGTCACTGGGGTTGGAGGAGGGGCCTGGGCGGAGGGTGCGATCCCCCACCCCCACCCCGGGAGCCCTCCCGCTGTCTGGCTGCGGCACCCTGTGGCCCTGAGACCGGGTACCTCCTGCCCCAGAAATAGAAAAGCCCAAACAGAACAGGCAGCCACACTCAGGCATGAACCCCAGAGAAATGTTCACATGGAACCTACACATGGATGTTCACAGCAGCCTGACCTCTGAGAACCCACAGTGGCCTCATCCCAGGTGCCCCTCAACAGGCGATGGTAAAACCGGCACATCCACAGCACGGTGCCGCCCCGCCAGCAAAGGGACAGCTGGATGCACACTCCTGGCTGAGTCTCCAGGACTCACACGAAACGATCAGGTTGCCTACTGGACAGCCCATTCATACGACCTTTTGAAATGGAAACATTTGATAAAGGGAGGACACAGGATTTTCAGAGGTTAGGGGTGGGGTGGCTTACGGGTGGGAGGGTGTGGTTATAAAAGGGGGTGGGGACTAAAGCACAGACCTACAGAGGAGAGAACGTTGTAGAAAACCACACGCACCCCAACAACTAAAGCGGAAATCTGAATTGGGTTGACTGATGGAGCCCATACGATCAGTTGTATCAACGTCCACACCCTGGTTGTGATAATCTTACAAGTGCTTGTGGGTCTATAATCTCAATAAGCATTTCCAGTAAAATAAAGAGATGGGCAGGACCTGGAGATGGGGACCAACTGCCCCCCCAGACGCGCCCCGTCTGTCCCCTGCTCCGCTGCCTCCCCTGATCTCCAAGTCCCACGGCTCAGAACAGTCTGAGGCAAACATCATGGAGTGATGTCCGTAATCACCCCCGAGCACAGCAGCCGGCATGACGCTGAGGCTTCTGGGCTGAGCTCACCGTTGTGGCTGTTGAGCCGAGTCTGCAGCCTGGGCTGACCTCCCTGCCCCTCTCCACGCCCCATGACGTCCCCTGGACCCCCTTCCTTGCCTCAGATCCTAGGAGCAGCAGCATCCCCCTATCCTTCCCCTGCCCCTCTGCATCCTCTCCCTTCTCTCGGAGGGAAGCCCGAGGTGAAAAGGTGGAAGACAAGCTGAGCAGCTTGAGGCGAGAGTATCCAGGGAAGTGAAAACTGCAAATATTTACTCTGACTTCAAAGGGAGCCTGGGAAGGAAGGGGGGAGGGACGGACGGAGGGGGCAGAAGGCTGGAGCCTGGGAAGGGAGAGAAGGAGGGGCAGAAGGAGGGGGCCTGGGAAGGGAGAGGAGGAGCGGGACGGAGGGGCAGAAGGAGGGGGCTTATCTGGCTGCAGTGGCAGAGAAGAAGGTGCCAAAGCCGATGCCTCTGGATTAGTCACAGGATGAGCCCTGAGAGTCCACGGGGAAAGGGCCTGTTCCACTCCGTGTGCGGATGGGGTGCTCCAGGAAGCGGGGGGGCAGGGGGTGCCAAGGGAAGGGAGCTGCTGAGCGGGTGGGCACAGCCCTGGCTCTGGGGGAGCCGAGGATTCCGTTGACCCTCTCCTGCTCGGCCATATCCCTGTCAGCCCAGCCCTGGCCCTTGGGGCTCAGGCTCCCGGATGCGGGAAGGAGGGCCCCGTGTTGCCGGCCCCTTGCCTGGGAAGGCGCAGTGAAGTCAGGGCTGGTGCACGTGGGCCTGCTGTGCTGACGGGCACAGGGCAGAGAGGAGACTATGTCTGGGGTGGCTGGCAGGGGAGGGGGAGCCCTGACCTTGGGTGAGGAGGCAGGAAATGGGGCTGGAGGCGGAGGGGACAGCACAGAGCAGCCTGGGCCTGGTCACAGGACTCACCTGGGGCAAGAAAAGCCGAGGCTCCTCAGCACAGGCCACACGGAGGCGCCTGCTGGGATGGGTGATGGAGTCTGTAATCTGGGCTGTTATTAAGGGTAATGACCTGTCAGTCACACCCATTGGAGCTGGCGGCCTGGGCCTGGGCTTTATGCCGTTGGGACACAGACCCCTCTGCAAGTCCGGTGCCTCCACTGAGTCCGGGGCCCTGCCACGGGGGGGCTGCCCTGTGTGTGCAGGGCCTGCACGCAGTAGGTGCTCAGTACATGTTTGTGGAGTGAAATGAAAGCAAGAATGAAGTCGGGACACAAAACCTCAGCCTCCATGAACGACCCTTTCAGCCAGGGCCCTGGCCACTGTGCCCAGAGTCCGCCTCCAGGTGAGAGGCTCCGACGGGTGGACACCCCCTCGGCCCTCCCCTCTCCTGGTGAAAGTCACCGCCCGGCGCCAGGTCGGCTGTTCAGGATGGAAGGTGGGGCTGGTCAGGACGGGCGGCGCCTCCCCCTGCCCTACCTGCCTCAGAGGGGACCCTGGACACACTGAACTCCCCAGGGCCCTGGCTCCGCTCCTGCTCTTGGCGGTTCTGGGCCTCGACCCTGAGCTGTGGTGCCTGAACCTGCTGTGCCGTTCGTCCCCGACTCAGTGGCCTCAATGTTCTCCTTCAGAGGGCTCATTTCTCTCTCCGTGAATTTATTCCTGTCCCTGTGCTTTGCCGGTACCGAGAGCGGTGATGTCGGCCCGGCAGCTCCTGGTGGGAGGGCGGAGGGGGCCGGGCCACGGGAATTGTACGGAATGTCCAGGAGAGAATCGGCTCCTGGGTCATGAGGGCTTGTGGCCTGGCAGCTGACGGCGGGAACGCATGGTGGGGAAGAAGGGACTCGGCCACCTCCCTTTCCAAGCCAGCGGGTGTCCAAGCCGGCTTCTCCCAGGATCTCCGGCGGCAGCCTGACTGTGAGGCCTCTGGCCCAGCCCCGCCCGCCCGGTCTCGGCTCACCTTCTGCGCCCTGCGCTTGTCCGCTCTCTGGTTCTGGTGGTAGATCCGGCTGAAGTTGGAGACGATCACGGGCACCGGCAGGGCGATGACCAGGACGCCGCTCAGGGAGCAGATGGACCCGAATATCTTCCCGGCGATCGTCTTGGGCACCATGTCCCCGTAGCTGAGGGGGGAGAGCAGGTGTGAGGAAGAGGGGCCGTTTGGGAAACAAGTCGGGCTCCCCTGCCAATCATTCACTCATTCACTCATTCATTCAGCAGCTGCTGAGGTGCCTCGTGTGTCAGGTACTGAAGTAAGACCTGGGAATGAACAAAGCAAACAAGATCCTTATGCCCCTCGAGCCAACATCCTACAAGGGCAAGGCCACAAACAGGAAGTGAATTCATGAAAGCACCTCGACCTGTGGTTACTTCCATGAAGGGAAGAGACACAGGTGCCGCCAGGGAGGGGACTGTGGGCAGGAACCGCCGCGGGAACATTTAAACTCATCTTAAAGGGGAAGCGCGTGCCGAGCCGAGGGAACAGACAGCACGGAGGCCTGAGGTCCAAGGAGCTTAGCTGGTTCTAGAAAAGGTTAAAGAGCCAGTGGGGCTGGAGGGAGGAAGGGAGTTATACAAGGGGGGGAGGGGAGGCAGGCAGGGGCCCGACCGCACGGAGCACGAAGAGCCACGGATGAGCCTTAACCAGAGAAGCACCATGGTCTCACTTATGATACTGGCATGTGCCAAACCCACCTGCCGACCGAGACTCCTGCCTTAGAAAGCACTTCGCACACTGACCTCACAGCCCCAGGAACTGCGAGCCTGGCGTCCTCGCTCCCATCACAGATGCAGCGTGAGGCTCCGAGGTGCCCTCGTTTGGGTACAGCTGGGAGGAAACCCACTTGCTTTCATCTTTTCTAGAACCCGCACTGAGCGAGGGCGGACCACCAGCTCTGAAACTCGGCCTGAGGGCCGGGAAGCCATTTCGGGACAGAGCCGCTCTGAAGTGCTTCACTTGGTCATGGCGGCAGCTGCCCCAAGACCGTCAGCCCCCGCAGCCAGAGCCTCTCCTCCAACCAGTGACTCTCCACAGCGGTAAGCGTTTAGCCTCTTTAGTGAGATAATTGAAAGATTATTAAGCGAAGAGCAAACAGGTGCGACTCCTTCGGGAGAGCCAGAACAACAACGCCCGGCTCAGGGGTCTGGACGAGAAACAGGCTTAGGATGACCAGGAATCGTTGCTGCTGAAACAGTGAGGCTCAAGGTCGCTTGTCCTGAGAGGGGACCACGGAGTCCTGGGCTCCACAGAGATGTGGGGGTCGGGGGGAGAGCGGAGAGCCAGCTGGGAAGAATGAAGTCCTCACCTGTGAGCACTGAGGGCTCTGGGAGGACAGGCCGGTGGTTGGCACGTATTTGCTGAGCGAACACATGATCTCGTTTAAGCCTCCCTCCCTGTGAGTCGGCTCCTGTCTCGAGAACGGCCTTCCTTCTCCTTCAGTGTCCAGGCCCTTTGTCCCGGGCAAGCTGTCAGCCATGTCCCTGATGTTGAGGCTGCGATAGGTCCTCTGGGGACCCGGGTCCAGGTCTGCCTTCTCTGCCACGTGCTCAGGGGCGTGGCTGAGGACTCGGCTTCTGGAGCTGGAGACCTGGGCTCAAGACCCGCCCAGCTCCACCAGAACACGAACGCATGACGTTGGACCTGTGTCCTTGTCTATAAAGTGAGTGGCCTAGGTCCTAACCCTGTAGCGACATACACAGCTCTATAAACAAGAGGTGCTGCTACTCTTGCCCAGGCATCCTGGTAACCATGGTCTCTGTTGCTGACCTTGGGACACAGCTGGTTGTCCCAAGTTCAAGTGCTCCCAGTGGCGAGGACGGGGCTGTCCTACGGAGGTGGGTCGTGTTAGCCGGAACCGACTGAAAGACGGACATCGGGCCGGTGACCGTGGACGTAAACGAAGCGAGGCAGGAACGTGTAAGAAAGTGCCCGGGCTCCATCTCAGAGCGATCGAGCGGGTGGGGATGCTGAGGGCAGCGGAAAGGTTGTCCCCCCACCCCCGCCCCCGGCAGAGAGGACGGGGAGGGAAGCTACGCCCACCATGGGGCAGATGGTCTGCTGGCAAGAGAAGACAGAAACAGAACAACTCAGCTCCTAGGCGCGCCTGGCCTTCTCCACGGAGAGCAGGCTCTGTCTGGGGAAGGCTGGGGCGAATGTGGGTACAGAGGAGCTTGAGGGAGGGGACAGGGGCGCAGGCCAGTGCCACCTGGGTCCCACCTGAGGGAGGAGGAGCGTGCAGATCGGGTCAGGGGACCGCCGCCATGCTCGGCGAGCAGTCACAGCGCCGCGGAGAAATGCCAGGACCAGAGAAGGAAACGGGTGTATCGATGTTTGTAAAGAAGGGGAGAGGAGCTAAGAAACCACGGACCAGCAGGCTTGCCCTCCATCAACTCTGCCATCAGGTTGCCGGCGGGATATGAGAGCCGATGAAGGGGGCAGCTGGCAGACACGGGAAATGAGTTGTATTGTGCACCAGGCACGGATCCTCCCAAATGAACCCCCATTCTGGTTTTGAGAGGGTTCACCTGCTGGTGGATCAGGAGACTGCTGCTGTCCTACTGCGTCATGATTTTGGCAAGATGTGTTTGTTCTTGGCCCAGTTCTTTCTGCCCTTGGCAAGCGGGAGGAAGGTGGTGGGGACGGCAGTGGCTGGTGGGGGCTGGACAGCCATCTGCAGGCTCCTGGCCCTTCTCAGAGACCACCACGGTGGGTGCTCGGCCAGCAAAGGAAGCTCAGGTTCCCGTGTTAGAAGGGTCCCCAGAAAGAATGGGCCTGACGTGAGGTCTCCCATGGCATGTTCCAGGATTTTCCAACAGCGTGTACCGAGCCCGAGGGAGGCAGCCTGGCCTCATGACAGAGACGAGGCTGGCGTCAGATCCGGGGTTAGTTATCTACCTAATTCCGGGGGCTGGGATGATTGTGAGAGAATTTAGGAGCAGGCCTTGGTGGGAACAGTAAATCCTCTATGAACAGCCAGTGTGGTGGCACCTACTGAATCTGGGAACGGTGTGCCTCCCCGATTAGGACATCAGCTCTGTCCAGAGCTGCTGGTCCTCAGAGGAGCCGCCACGTCTCCCTCTGTCCCTGTCCCCTCTGGTCCCAGCAAGTTCGGAACTGGGCACCTGCCTCAGGCGGGGACAGCGCTCCCACCACGGAGAACCTGGCAGGGCCCCCTGGACCCATTTTCTAACAGCTCTATGGAGACATAATTTACACACCATAACATCTGTCCATTTAAATTGCACAATTCAGTGGCTTAGTGTGTTTACAGAGCCTAATTGTGGAACATTTTCATCACCTAAAAAGGCATCTCACAGCACAGCAGTCGGTGACCTTTCCACGCCCACCACAGCCCAGGCGACCACTAATCTACGTCCTGTCTGTGGATTTCCCTCTTCTAGACATTTCTATCAGTGGAATAGGAGCATGTGACCTTCGCATCCGATTTCACGTAGCGTCACATGCTCAGTGTCAAGCCCATCCATGTGGTAGCGTGTCTGTATGGACAGACAGCATCCCGCTGAATGGATAGACCACATTTTGGTCATTCACTCATCAGCTGATGGCCATTTGGGTTGTCTCACTTCTTGGCTATTATAAATAAACTCTGCTACGGAAAGTTGTGTATGAGCTTTGGTGCGGACTGAGCTTTCATTTCTCCAGGAGTCCGCTGTGACATGTTTAACAGTGTGCGGGCCGGGCAGACTGCTTTCTAAAGTGCCCGCACCATTTTAGAAATCCGTTAAAGATTGGGCGTGCCAGCAATCCGTTAGGGCTCCCATTCTCTGTCTCTTCACCAACACGGTGACTACTGCCTTCTGATCCCAGCCATCCCAGCGGGTGTGAAGGTATCTCACTGCATTTCCCTGGTTGGCTAATGAGGTCGGGCACCTCTTCCCCTTCCCTGGATTTTCACTCTTGAGACCAGATCAACCTCCTTCGAAGAAGTTGAAGCTGCAACAAACAAGGCTCCGGGCTGCCCACAGCCATGCTTTCTGCATCTGGGAGGGAGCCAGGCTGTCGGTAGAGCGGGAGCCAGCTGACACGCAGAAGGGGGTGATGGGAAGGGAAGTCTGATGACGTTTGGGTTCCTCTGAATTCTCTCTGAGGCCCAGCTTCACTTAGCCTTTCCTGCAGCTCAATCCCTCCTTGACTCTGCAAGTTATTATGTTTGTTTAACCTTCCGTTTGGATCCCATGATGGTGATGATATGATGGTGATGACAAGCTACTGCTGCTTTCCCTAAGCAAGCTCTTCATTTCTAAACGACAGCGACTGCGGGTCAAACCTGCCGGGCAGTGTTGACCACTCACTACCCAGCAGCTGACTGCAGTGGCCATGGCCGCGAGGGGAAGTGCTCCCCGGGGGCCCCCTGGACAGTCCTAATGGCATCTATGGCCTATTTTCTCTGTGGAACGTGAGCAAAGTGAGGCGTGAGAAAAAGAAAAACAAAAAGCGTCTTGGGCTCAGACAGTATTTGAAGCTGTCCCCTTACTCCCCTTTTTGCCTTCCTCCTCTCATGCCAACCAGGGCTCCGTCCTCCCACCTCTTCCTGCTCTGTGCCCGGGGAAGGCAGGGGCAGGAAGGCCCCTCCTGGAGGTGACGCAGGTGCAGGTGGCTGCTGTCCCTGGTGAGGGCGGGGGGGCGGGGGTGCGGCTCAGGGGCTCCGGCTCTGCTTCCCACCTCTCCCAGCATCCTCGGATCCGAAGTGACGTCCGGGCCACAGGCGCAGGGACGCTCACCCTCCTAACATGGAAGGCTAATTAATTTGCATTCAGGCTTAGGGATAATTAAACCTTTTCTCTGAACTGAAGCTGCACAAACCACCCGCCTTGTACAATTAATTGCTGCCTTTACTTCCTCCTCCAGGTGCTGAGAGATAAGCGGGAGCTGAGCTCCCATCCGATCCTGTCTCGCTCAGATGGACAGGGCTGCTGTCCAGTGGCCCGATCTTTCCTGGAGGCCGGGCACGGTGCTGGGGGCCAGAGGCTAGGGCCCAGCCAAGGACACGTGCCCACTCCTGACAGGCACGCTGTTCTAGAAACCACCTGAGCCCATTCTCCCAGTCTCAGTCCCCGGAGACTTGTCCCATGGACCCCTCCACCTTCTTGGGAGTGGAGGTGA